TTTTTCTGATAAATGTTATGATTCACAAACGTATAATCTCAACATTTCAGTTATCATAACATCCATGCGCTCACCGGTATGTGATGTTATAGTAAGAATTACTAGCATTTGTTGGCATACAGTTCCCTGAATATTACTGATAAAGCCTTAGATTCTGTATGATATGTGTGTTTCAATATTTATGGTAACTTTCTTTCAGAATATTCTTTAGTATTTTAATTTGCAAACCTTTTCTACTATCCATAAATTATATTAATAATAGACTTTTAATTATAATTATACAGTAATACTGTACAGGTATATGATATAATTTATATTACTAAAATAAAATAATAAGCAAATTAAATTTTAAAAGTTTCAATTTATTAAAAATCTAATTTATATTATAGATAATTTATTTGTATCTTATAAATTTATTCAAAAAACCTGTCAGTGATTAATCACATTTAAAGAATTCTATTTGTGATACAAACGATTATATCATATTTTAGTTAATTTGACACAATGAGAAAGTTTATTTTTTGTTTTATGTTATATATACAGTATATTGGATTTTATATTTTTTTGAATTTTATAAAAGTTTTGAAGTGAGAATGGTGTTATTTTGGAGATTTGAATTTCACATTATCATTGACAGATTAAATATCAGGTTCATAGAACTTTATGTTAAAATTATTAAAATTATAATTTATTTCACAGGTCAAGTTGTTTTAAGTATCGGTTTTGATAAATTTAGGTATTGTTATTTTTATTTTAAAATTCCTGTTTCTAATGAATTTTAAATATCCTTTATTAAAGATATTAATAAATTTATACAAAACACTGGCAATTGTGGCTATTTATTGTGGGAATTGTTTTTTTAATGCTACCGGTAATACCATTTATAAAATCAAATGAAAATTTCAACACTATTTTGTATATTGTTAATTAATACAATATATTTAGGACATGCGAACAAATCAATTAACGTTGAAAGTACCATACAGATATTTATTTAAATAGAAACTGCATTAATAGAATTAATTATTTAAACAGCATTTTGGTTATATAAATCTTAAATACATTCAAAACGCATTATATAGTAGATTAAATTTATAAATTTAAATTTTAAGTAACGTAAAAAATAGTTTTTAAAATAAAAGTATATAATAATTTTATTGTAAATATTATATTTAAATTATATAGAATATTTTTTTAATATAAATAAATAATTAAATCCATTAATAAATTAATAACCAGTAACTATTTTATATATAAATTACTGTACTGTATTAAGTATGTATTCAAATTTCACTAAACATATGAATAAATATTACAATATTTAGGGAATAAGTTATAGATAATTTATAAATAAAATTTAGTAACCAATTGTTCCATAATTTAGAGCACAAAATAGACTTCAATAATTTTAATAAATATTAGTTACAAATTTATTTAAAATGTTTCAAATCACTACAATATTTGTAGTATGTATGATTTGTGTCATAGCAAGTGAGCCAGCTAAAGCTAAAGGTAAAGCCAATGCCAATAATAATGCAAATAAGAAAGAGGAGGAAAGGGTGGAAGCGGCTATGAATCAGTTTTTCGAGAAATACTGCAATGAGGAGAACCCTGATACTTTGACCAAGTTGGAGGCGTGCGAGAAACACGAACCACAAGAGGTTCATTCATTCACTACAATTTCATTCTTAATCTATTCATAATCTTATATTTACTTTATGAAGAAAATTATATATATTATTAAATAATTAATTAATATAGTATATTGATAGTTGATATTTTAATTAATATACATTATTGTAAATACTTGTAAATTGCCTTAAAATTACAGTTGAAACAGATAGAAAGGGAGTGTTTGATTAAAGTGGCCAATATAACGGATAAAGTAACCTACAAAGAGATGATCAAGATTGAATGCGATCAAACGTTGGGCGATAAGGTACTTAACATTGAATTAAATAAATTGCATTTTAATAGATGTTTATAAAATCAAGTTTGACAAATGCGAAAACGATAAAATGACTAAAATGAATCTGGAGAAAAAATATCCAAATCTTCAACAAATTGTTAAAAAGATTATGGTAAGAAAAAATGTTCAGGGAATCAGACCTTATTTCCATAATAAAGTATGTACACTATTTTATTAATAATTTTTTATTTCAAATCTACTGTATGTTTAGGATTGTGGCTTTGATTGCTATGGAATGAAACATATTTAATATTAATAAAATATACCATGCTAAATCACCTAGTTTGCAATAATGAGTTTAAATGTGAATTTTATGTTTATTTAGCCTAAGATTTATGCGTTACAATTACAATTTGTATTCCTGTATGCTAACCCTAAAAATAAATATTAATATATTAGATTAAAAATTAGTGCTAAATTATATTTTTAATATGATTATTATTTCCTGTAAAATATAGATTAGTAGACCGCATCAAGGTCATTATTTTTAAAAAACCTATTTTTATACGGGTACAGTATTAAGAATTCATTGAAAAAATAAAATAATTATATTTGCATTAATTATACTGTTGATTATAGGTAATTTTGTTTAAAATAATAATGATAATAATTTGTTAAAATTCTATAAAAGTGTTACAAGAATATCATGCTCATATTTGTGAATAGATGCGAAAGTACCAGAATTGTAGTTCATTTGGCGAATACTAGACAGCGTTATAATCGATGCAAATATTGGGTCATTCAATACATGCGAGGAATTCAGGTTTTCTAGCCTTCACTACAATGACAGCCAAATACACATTCAATTCAATTCTGGTTTACTATCAAAATATATGTCGATTACAATAAACTGATAGCAAACACAAATTTTTGGTTTAGTTTTGTGTTTAACTTTTGATTAGCACAGAGTTAGCCAATGTACTGTATATGAGTGAGTGAGCAGGGAGAGAGAGAGGGAGGGAGAGAGAGAGAGAGAGAGATTGTAAATGAAGTAAAAAAAATTCTATACATAAAAAATATACTGTAGATAATTATTAGGAAAGTTTACGTTTAAATGTATGCAGCTATTTGCTATTAAACTATAAATCATTAATACTATACATTGTACTGTTTAATTATAAATGTTTAATTAACGTAAATGTTCAAGATCGTCTTTCATAGTTTTCAATGCCGTATATTTTTGTTAATGAATTGCTTCTCATATGGATATCACACTCGTAATACTATACATTGTACTGTTTAATTATAAATGTTTAATTAACGTAAATGTTCAAGATCGTCTTTCATAGTTTTCAATGCCGTATATTTTTGTTAATGAATTGCTTCTCATATGGATATCACACTCGTTTATCATACGCCTTACTATACATTTATTTTTAGATAACTGTGCTTAATTGATGAACGCATACGCGTACATCAAAATCAGCTTGCTAATGCACAATTTGTATTTTCATTGCCTACAATGGCACTGTTTGTTTATCACTACATATACTGTATCTTAAGTACGATATGAAGAACCACAATAAAAATATATTTATATACATATATTAATATACAGTATAAATATACGGTATATCAAATTCATGTATACAATAAACCCTAAATGTTGTATTTGCATAAATCAAACTAGATGATCTACATACAATGAACAGTATACAAAATGTGTACACTATACATAATATACATAATCTATAGCGACTTATTCGCACGTTTAGCAAAACTATTAGCTTTGATGTCAAGGATTGCAAAATAGTGCGCCTAATATACGCAACTAATAGTACAGTTATCAAGGTTTGTAATACCAGGAGTCAAACATTAGGCAGAGACTTACTATTTTCCCTTCACATACAATGTTACATATTTTTGGCCCTTTATGGGTTACGTAGTCTATGTCATAAAGGTCCAGACGGTTATTATTGTGAATACATATTAAGTGAATTTTGACATTTTAATTCATTTTAAATCAAGAAGTGTTTGATTCTTATATAACTTTCAACGAGGAGTCCGAATATGTAACTTATATTGTCCTGTAACTTCGGATTCGACCACAGTGACCACTTTTATCGGGTCAACTTTCATTATAAATATGCACTTGTGATATATCAATTCAATGGAGAATTTTACACTAAATACGATGGTATATATGAAAACATTGTTAACTTAAATTATATTGCC